ACACCTTGTATCTCTTGAGAATTTACACGAGTTCTGCATGTGGAAAATCAAATGAAAGGTCAACCCCCCCTCCGTTTCTCTCCTGATTTCAGTTAATTTTCTTTCCCCACATTTCTCTCTCAAATTCACATTTGTTTTAGCAAATCTTAGAAATGACAGGGAGAAAGAACTGTTATCACTATTTAGTAGACTTCACTGAGTTCTCTCCCCTTAACTTGATTACGTGGTGTTCTAAACCTAAATTTCTCCTCAGCCATGCATATATTTTCCTCTTGGAAGTCAGAAATTTTATTCAGAAGTCTGTGCTTTCTGAAAGAGCAGCCTTTTATTGAGGAAAAGAAAAAATGTGTTAAATGCAGTGTACTGGGCTGACCTTGACATGATGTCATGTGCTTACCAGATTTACTCTGTCATTTCCCCTCCTCAGCTGGGCAGGGGAGAAAAAAGACTTGTGGCTCAAGATAGGGATAGGGAGAGATCACTCACCAGTTGCTATCAAGAGCAAAACTAACTTGATGGAATTATTTGATTTTATCACTAATCAAATCAGAGTAGGATGAGAAATAAAACCAAATCTTAAAAACTTCCCCCCACCCCTCCATTCTTTCTGGGCTCAACTTAATTCCCAATTTTTTCTCAGTTCTTCCCCCACAGCGGTGCAGAGGAATAGAAAATGGGGACTGCAGTCAGCTCATCCCACAGTGTCTCTGCTGCTCCTTCTTTCTCATAGGAAGGACTCCTCACACTTTACCCCTGCTCTAGCAAGTGGCCCTTCCCATGGGAGACAGTCTTATATGAACTTTTCCAAAATGAGTTCTTCCCAAGGGCTACAGTTTTTCTTGAACTGCTCCAGTGTTGGTCCCTTCCACACCTGGAGCACTTTCTTCCCTTCCTTCCCCTCCTTTCTCACTGACTTTGGTGTCTGCAGGGCTGTTTCTCTCACATATTCTCACTCCTCTCTTCCCTGGCAGCATTTGCTCTTGTTAAACAATGTTTTTACCCTTAAAAACACTATCCCATCACTGCTGGGCTCACCCTTGGCCAGTGGTGGGCCCATCCTGGAGACATCTGGCATTGGCTCTGTTAGATATGGGGGAAGTTTCTGTCAGTTTCCCACAGAAGTCACTACTGTAGACCCCCACCAAAACCTTGCCACACAAACACAACATATTATTTATCTTCAGAGCTAAAGACAATTGTTAGTTATTTTTAATGGCCTGAACAAATTCTAGTAAAATAAGGAAAAAACTTATTGGAACCAAGTTTTGATGAAAGAAATCCAAATGACAAAAATGGAGTGCAATTTTTTTTTGTTGTTCCACTGAATCTGCTCCTCTTCTATAGCTTATATATCCAGAATGGAATAAAATTGTGGTATACTTGAATGTCAGCTAATGAATTTTTAACAAGGAATTAAGCTTTTTAAAACTAAAGAATGTGAGTCACTAGAGTACGTTTCATCATGGAACAGATCAATAATCTTCAATAGTCAGTCTTGCTTGATTAAGGGTTTTAGGATGTGGCTGTTTAGGTGGCATGTGGTGGTCTTCTATGTAGGGATTCATGTTGCTATGCACTAAACATAATGTTGACGTTACTTATACATTTCACCTCCTATTCACAACAGTTACTTTATGTTTTCTCCTAGCCTAGATGAGACTTGAGCAAGGCAGAAATGAGATTGATTAAGATCCATCTTGGGTGAAGTGGAAATGTTTTTTACTTTGAAATATCAGTACTAAAACAAAGTGTAATAAATTAATCTATGAGTAAAAATTCGTAAAGGTATAATTAAAATATATATGTGATTGCGATGTCATAAAAATATAACATATAATGGGAATAAGTCCTTCTCCAGATCTGGTCGTGATTCTCCTCCGAGAGGCAACAGATTGCAGCCAAGTACCCAGATAACAATCGCAAGCAGGCACATCAGCCCCGAAAGAATGGGCAGGACACGGGCCATCGAACAAACAAAGGAACGGGCCCGGACGAGATATCGCCGAGCCCGAGCACCTCCGCCCTGCCCACCTGTGTTGGAGAAATGGAAAAACTAGACAAAGGAAGAGGAGACAGCCGAGATATCCATCGGCTCCAGGATGGGTCCCACCACTCCACCCTAATGGCCCGGACCAAAATGATATCAAAAAGACATCCTGGACCTCTTTACATATGAGGAGCCTCTGCCCAACGTCTATCGACCCTATTCTCCAGTGCCAGGAAATCTATTCTTCGAACAATCAAGAACCTCTTAACAAAAGGGTGCCTGCTTGGAATTTGGCCTCGGGACACAAACTTCCTATAAAAACCCAGGCCAAGGGACTCTCAGGCGTGGATTTGGGAGCATCTATACCTTGTGTATAGACCCTGTCCACCCAGCGCTGCGCTGCTTATTTTATTGTGGTTTTTTCTCATTGTTCGAAATCATTATTGTTTGATAATAATTTTTCTCTTTTATATAACCAGAAATTGCCTTTGCATTTATAACAAAAGCAAGCAGGGATTATTCCACACAAACATTGTCTCAAATGTTTTTTTTATGCTTTAAAATGCATTAGTAGCTACAGCACAAAAGGCACCCATGGAACCCTGTGATAGATTGGCATTTAAGAAAACAAAGAGAAACACCTAAGGAAGTTAAAACTGCTGGAGGCTGATGGGAGTTTGTCTCCTAGCCAACAGCTGGCCATTTCTAAGAATTGACAGCAGTTTTAACCATTGAAAAGTGAGATCAACCTGTGAACACCACCTTAAGATCTAAGCCTGGGAATTTCTTTGTCTCTTTGTTTCCTGGCTGTGAAAGGTAACAGAGCTCTAGCTGGCTCCTGTTCCATGCGGCCCGGGCAGGGGCTGGGCTGGGCCTGCTGCGGCTCCCGGCCGGGAAATGGGGCCTGCAGGGCTTGCCCCGGGCTCTGGCTGGGCCAGGCCGGTCTCTGGCTCGGCTGCAGTTTTTGCTGTGACTGAATTCACCAGAGACTGCCGAGTAAAGAAAGAAAAAAAAAGCTCTTGACCTGCAGCGGGCTGAGACAGTGACCACACTCTCTAGAGCAGCCATGAAGAATCTTCCATCGCAGACAACTCCAGCTGCTGCTCCAGCAGAGATCACAGAACCATCTACAAAGCCTGGGCAAGATTTCAACCCTTTCATTACCCAGATGAGACTTGCAGATGAATCCTTTTTTCCAGAGAAAGAAAAAGAGAGTAATCAACATATAAAGAGACTTTATAAACTATCAGAGACAGTAAAGGAAAGAATTAAGCTTCAGAAAAGGTAGAGAATAAGGAGATGCTTTATAAGCTGAAATATTTTTCTGTTAAAGCCATGCAGATGGACAACTGTGTTCTGAAAAAAACTCCTTTAATTCATGACAGAGTATATAGGGAGGAATGGAGTGTTTCAAAGTTTGGATTTTGAGCAAAAGGTAATTATGATACAGTGAGGTGCTGGAACAGAAGGGGAGAAGTAATAGTTGAAGATTTGGGGCTGCTTGAGGCAAAGAGAAAACTTCTGTTTTCCAGGAAAGCTCACACAGACAGATGAACAGAACTTTTGCCTTAGAATAACTCATCCTCAAAATGACATCCCTAGACTCATTAACCCATGCACACCTCAGAGTGATGTGAAATGGGAGGAGTGAACTGATGGCAGATTTCCAGGCAGCTGGCATCAGAGAAATAGAAAGCTATAACAGAAATAGTTTTCTTGTGAGAAACTCCATAGATTAGCAGAAGAAAGACTTCTGTTTCTCTACAAAGACCGATGAAATGACTCTAGCAGGAATTGGGACTGTTTTAAACACCAAAGTTTCAAAGTTTTTTGTCTCTATGTTGTCATGTGAACAAGGGAATTGTTGGGTAGTGGGGGATAAAACAGTTTTCTGGAAGTTTCTTCTGGTGTTCTTGTAGTTTTGCTAATAAACTTTCTTTATTCCTTTTAAGTTTTAAGCCTGTTTTGCTCTTGTTCTAATCCGTATCTCACAGCAAAAAAATAAGTAAGTTTTCTAATAATTCTTTAATTACTGCTTTAAAACCACGACAGACCCTTAGTCCTGTCTATGAGAGACATCCAGGCTATTCAATGCATCCAGAATTTTCTAATATTAAAATGACTAGGCATGGGTCAAAGATATTTTGACTGAAATGAGACTACTTTAGATGAGGATTTTGGTTTCAGGTATGCAGATAAAGTGAGCAAGCATTTCAAGTCTATGAAGAGTATCAGTTTCTGACTACAGTTTTTATATGCTTTCCATTGCCAGCTTCCTCTTCAACAAAATCCATCAAAAGAGCTGGTTCTATGTAGGATTTTCTAGTTTTAGTACTGCCTCTTGAATCTCTAAACACCAAAGATTTTGCACAACGTCATTGCTAATATGAAACATTTCCCAGAATTTTTTGTCATGGGAATTCTACTAGGAATGAGTTGCATGGATACCCTTTAACAGTTACATTTTAATCTTAGCCTTGCAGCTGATGGACCTGGGGACATGGAGGTGCAGCAGTGTCACTGCTTTAGGAAATTTAGTTCTTCATTCAAAATGTGAAGATTTTGTTTCTGGATTAACACTTGGATCTCTTGACTTAATGAATTTATCTAAGACAGGTCAATGAACAATATAGTTACCTGAGATAAAGAAACCATGGTTTACTACATCTAAATTTTCATGTAAATAGAACAAGCTTAGCATCTGATCCAGTCAATGACTGAGCATATTTCTTTTCCTGGTTATAACAAGGACATGCTGGTATGAATGATTTTAAGACCTAAAGTTGCCTAGTTCGACTATTTAACAGTAAAGAATTTCATTAGATTTTGGTGTGAATTTTCTAGCTAAATCTTTCAGGCGTTTCTGCCTTCTTTATTAATATTGCCATTTACTGTGATATTTTGGTGATATTTCGGTGATTTAGTGACTAAACAGATTTAATCTTTTTCCTCTAAGGCAATATATTTACTACAACTTTTTTTTTTTTTTTTTTACTTTCTTCTCATTCTTCAGTATTATCTTCATTCATTTAAATGAACAGGATTAGGAAAATCAGCACATGGAGAACTGAAAGGCAGTTGTTTATGAAACCTTCTATCCACATGGATCTACATTGACTATCTGCTTCTTGTGGTGATGAAGATTGCTCCAAGGATGCAGTTACAGCTGTTTGATCCCACTAGAGACATAAAGACCCTACAGCAAGAAGACGAATGGGTCATCAAACCTGGGCAGTATTTTAGAGGGTTAAAGAGAAAATAGTCTTTTCAAGAGAATGAGTACCTCCTTAAAAGGATATGTAGGAGATTTGTGTCAGAAACCATATTGGACAGTAATTATCCTAATATTAGTAAAATTTCCATTAACTTTCAGAAACGTGTTGGGAGTTTCTTTTCCATTCCTTTCAAAAAAGGAGAGTTCATGTTCTGTCATGTTTTACTAGCTGTTCTAATCCCAGCAGCAATATTTTTTTTTGTTTACACAAGCTCATGTGTGCAGCTGTTGATTGTTGATGGTTTCTGCTGATCTGTATGCTGTAAGATGTGTTTATGACAACAGTGCTTTTTCTTAAACAAATATGTCATTATTTCTGAAATATTCAGCTGTTTTTTGGCTATATTTGGAGTTCATCTGTTTGTGAAGTTATTTGTGAACTGCATTAATTCTATTTTATGTTTAGATGTGTTAACTTAAGTCTTCTGTTAATAGAACGATTATTTTTAGGGTGAAATCTTTAATATATTCCTTTTATTGTCCTTTAATGTTTTTCCCAAAGTTGTTATCAAGCAAAGGAACACATTGGTACAGCTACAAGGCAGCCTATGCACAATTCAAAAATAGGTAAGTTCAAGTGAGCAAACCAGTGTGAATTCATGAAATAGTGACATTATTTTACTTACTGTATTAATGGCTGTTCTCTTGACTATCATTCTATTTGCTGGTCTGAAAACAGACACAAATGTCTACACCAATTTCAAACAAGCAGTTTCAAACCTGCCCCTATACTGCTTATGAGTAGCACTGCATCTATCCAGCCCCAACCTACTCACACTTATTTCACCAGTGAAAGCAGAAGCTATTCCAGTGAAACATCTAAGTGCTCTGTTTAAATTATGCTTAGAACCCTTCCAGCTTCAAATGGTAAGATATAAATTTTGTGGTTCTATATGTGGTTCCTAGTGAAACCACTGCAGCTTGACTTTAGAAATAGCTGTGGTTTAAGAAAATACCTGCAGCTCATACAGAGGATTGACAGCCATAGGAAAGACCACATACGTTCTCAGCCAACAGGGAGTAGTTCACCACTGGCTATAACATGTTTACCTTCAGCCTGTGTAAAGTTTTGTGTGGGGGTCTCCAGGTCTCAAAGAGACAAGAGCAGTTGTCAGTTGCAGTAAAGCTGTTTATTGTATGAATGCATCAGTCTCAAAGACAGAGAGTTCAGAGTATTAAAGTCCATGCTAAAAGCTTTCTGGCATAGAGTCCCAATATGTTGAGCAGCAACTGGCATAAAGTTCCGTTGATCTGGATGGCAGCAGAAGCAGTTTTTTCTTCTTTCTGTGTTGTGATGTTTATGATGATCTGTTGTTGTCCTTCTTCCTCTTCTTTGTGGTGTGATCTCTCTTTTTCACCCCAATACAGGGGATTGTATTGGATTCATAAATCATCCAATCAGCTAAAAACACAATTCTAAAACATTCTTTCTATGCCAATCTATACTTAATTCTTAATGTACGAAAGCAGTGTCAGTCCTCCAGTACTTTTTACAGGGCAGTTTTTTCCACAGCTGCTGTACCTTGTCAGAAAAGCAGTAAAAATATGTTCCTAACAGTGACCAAATGACAAGTGATCCAAAACAGTTGGGAAGGCTGTCAATATTTTTAATTAATAACTACCTTCTTGGCATATATAATCTCTGCGTCTTCTGAAAGTTCTTTGCTCCTGTGACACATGTCTTGTTCCTGACAACACAGCCCTGTTGCTCTCATGATCTTTTGGGGTGCATCACAGTCTGTATTTGCACCATAGTCTAAGATGGGATCCCTCAGCAACTCAAAATTAATGTTTTCTCTTTTTTTCATTTAGAGTGATGCCTTTACAATTTTTATACACATCATAAATAGCCATAGGATTTGAGTGCTGATGCCACAAACTCTACAGTGAAGTGCTTGTCTAGCAGCAGCTCACTCATCAGGTCACCTAATCAGTCACCAAGTTTGGGGTGTTTGGTCCCATAAACAATTTATGAAAATCTCCATAGGCTGTGTCATGATAAAATTGCTGCCATTGGAGGGCACCTAAGATGTCATGAAGCTCTAAGGCTGTGTGTGCAGGGGCAAAGCAAGTTACCAAGATGTTACTGCTGTGTTCTAGGGTCACACCCCTTTTGACGTTGCCATGCAGATTCTTGTTTTGGTAAAGTTGTTAGAATGTTGTTGTTAGTTTATGTTAGTAGTTGATAGCTTGAAATGTATCTTTTCCCCTCTTTTAGTGATGATTTCCTCCCCCCCCCCCACTTCTCTTTCTCCTATTGTTTACCTGAAGTCAGGTTACCATGGTTACTGAAGTTTTTCTCCTCAGCTCCACTGCGAGAGGCCGGATAGAGTAAAGAGAGGACTCTGCTGGCATTTCCAGCTGCTTGACATTTCTTTAGCCCAGGAAAGCACGGGGTTGGGAGAAGAGAGATCCTTCTTTCCAACACCGAAGTTTCGAACTCTGTTTTTCCTGTCCCAGAATGCCTCTGAGCTATGGAAGCTGAGAGGGCATTCTTACCTTCCCTTTCTTTCCCCCCTGTGTTGCCAGGAAACCAGCCTCCCCCCCCTCTCTCCCCCTCTGCCCCTCTGTGGAGAATACTCCTACACCTTTGTGGGCATTTGAAGAAGTTGTTGTCTGTTATTTCTTATCTTGGTGTATAACCTTGATTTGTAGAAAGTTTGTAAGATGTACTAACTAAGAAAAATAATTGGTTCTTTCTCTGATGTTCCCTCCTGTTATAAATTTGTATTGTGATATTGGCTTTCGCAGATGAATATTATATATTAAATACTTTTTAGCTATGCTAACAAGTCTTAAGTTTAAAAGAATTTCCTAGGTACAAGGCAAGGAAACCCCAGAGGGCAAGGACAGTGGGGCCCAAGCTGTTATCAGAACAATAGAACCCAAACTGTTATCAGCGGAAGATATGAAGACCAGCTGCCCTCAGGGGAAGGATGAGGGGCCCATGCTGTTATCAACAAGTGACCATCTGCAGCAAAAAGGAAACCAAACTCCAAAATAATGCTGACCAGCAGAAAATAACATGATCCAAGAAGGTGGAACCAGGGAGGGGACATGCTTGAATATGCATTAACCTCTCACAGCAAAGATGGCATAAAAAGGACACTCCTGAGATACCAGGTGTGTTCCTGGTAACCCACCAGGGCACCCGGCCGTTTTAACCCTTTGCTTTATTTCTTTTGTCTCCTAATTGTCTTTTGTTTATATTAAATTCTTTTTATAATTTATTAAGTGAATCTCGTTTTTAAGACTCCCTTCGAAAAATCCTGTTAAAAGAGACCCCCAGACCCCAAATCCTTTGTCTTTCGCCCTTTGGATTCCCCTTCACAGAAATAAACTGTGGAATGCAACCCTGGGGAGAGAGTCCACCCCTGATTTCTTTACTCGCTTTATAGATTCGAATTCCTGAAGAAAATCAGTGAACCCCACAAACATATGCTGGCTCAAAACCAGAGTGAAGAGAAACCTCATCACTGAGCTAGCCGGGCCACTCTGGGGGTTTGAGTCAGATTCTCATTAACAAAAACACAAGTGAACACAGCGAAAGTGAGAGAAAAGAGGCAGTCATAACATTTTCTTGGCTCCAGACAGGACAGGGTTGATTTTTGCAGTAGCTAGCAGGGGCCATAGCAAGGACCCAGAAGTCATTCTGTACTACCTCACATCATTTCCTGCATGGGGGGAAGGGATCTCTTTTGGGTCGGTGCAGGGTGGCAGAGGGAATAGTCAGGTATTGCTTTCATTTGAATTGTTCACCTCTTTCTTGTGCCCTCTGTCATTCATATTGTGGCTGTTACTGTTAATTTTCTTATCTCATGGCTGTTTCCAGTAAATTGTTCTTATCTCAACCCGTGAGCTTCACGTTTTATGCCTCCAGTCCTCCTTTCCAGCCTTCCACAGGGGAGAAGATGGTGGGAGGGAAGGAGCAGCACATGGTTTAGAGTGCTTTCAGTGGGAATTCTAAATTGGAGAATACCATTCTTAAACCATAGCAACTCACCTGGTTCTTTCCCCACTGGTAGCAATAGCGTTTGCTTTCCCCAGCCCAAAAGGCCATTGAGGTAGTAGAACTCCCAGAAATAACTTTGGCATGTCCAAAACAATATTGTTCTATTGATGAAGTCATGATGATTAGTAAAATCTAAATAATGTATCTTCTCACCAATCTGCTCCACCATATAGGGAAAAGGCATAGATCCCTCTGCCCAGAAGCACACCCCCAGGGATCAGCAGCAGTGGCAGCTCAGCTCTTTTTGAAGGTCACACATCTACTCCTTACTAGCTGTGTGACATGCCAAGAATTTTTCAGGAACTAGTTTTTGAAGGTACAAGTAGTCCCTAATTCCTCCAAGCACATCCGCAGCCTCCACTCATGTCCATAGCCCAGGGGTTCCCTTTAAGCTCAGTTCTGGGCCCTCAGCCCCTTCCTTAGCTATGTATTAATGTCCCTGTCCCTAGCCTTATTTCTGGTGTGCTGTTAGTCTTTCCTTGCATGACCTTGGACCTGTCTTGTTAATCTTGCCTGTGTCTGTTGCACAGAACACAGGCTTGTGCCTGCTCAGGTTGATTGTTCTGTGGATCACCACCTTCTTTATGGAGAATAGGGTTCTGATTAGGTCTGCTACAGTCACCCCAAACTGCATGCAAACCACAAAAGAAATATAAAAATGTCAAGTCCAATTACCAACCAAAACCCAGCTCCGTTTATTTCAGTATCTACATATGGTGGTTGTTTGGAGGTGGAGTTGTTTGGAGACAGCAGGCACAAAGTGCCGGAGAGTGCACCAGTATTTTTAGCTGCTCTGCAATGAAACAGTCTGTGGTGCAAATGCAGTTTATGGATGTTGGAACATTGTGTTTGCAGGGGATTTCCATTAAAATCAAAACAAGATGTTATTTCATACTGGCCAGCCACACTGAGATGGCTGATACCCTATTTAAAAAACAGCCTTAGAGGCAAGTATAGAAGCTCTCATAATTTGCATTAAATACATTTGGTATAGTAATTTAGGAAAAGACTGTGAATATGGGAACCTATTAACCAATAAAATATAGTTCATGTTGGCAGCAAACAGAGCCAATACGATGCTCAAGG